AGTGTTGAACCACCTCAAGTCTATTATGATCTGAAATATCCTGAAAATGTTATTGAAGAAGTTCGACTCTCCTCATTACAGTTGGAGGCGGTTGTATACGCCTGTCAACAGCACATGAATACACTTGCTGATGGATCCAGAGCAGGATTTCTCATTGGTATAGTCACCTACATACTGTATAACGGAAAATTATTGTGGCCCAAAGTTTTCGTGGATTTTTTTCAAAATTCACGAAAATAAAATCCGGGAAAATCGATTCAATCCAGAAAGTAGAAAACTGCGAAAATTAAAGCCACGAAATTGATTTTTGAACAGATCCATGAAATTTTTGGGCCACGAAAGTTTTCCGCTATGTGGTATTATTATTTTTGTTATTTTATTGTTTGGATTGTATCAGGTGATGGTGCAGGAGTTGGGAAAGGGCGAACTGTAGCTGGAATTATTTATCAGAATTATATAGAAGGAAGAAAGAAGTCTCTATGGTATTAATTTACTTGTTATTGTTGGACTTTATAGTATTCATGTTTCAGGCTGAGTGTGTCAAATGATCTGAAATATGATGCTATCAGGTATGTAGTGTTGTATAGAGTGAGTTGGAGCTTGTATTTGGTTGTTATCGTAATTCCTATTGTGTGTACTGAGCCTCTCTGCTATTAAAATAACTACTATTGTGTGAGCCGAAATAGCTCAGTTGGGAGAGCGTTAGACTGAAGATCTAAAGGTCCCTGGTTCGATCCCGGGTTTCGGCATTTTTTTTTCTTTTTTTTCTTTGTAGAGATTTGCATGATGTTGGCGCAAAGAAAATTAGTGTTTTTGCTCTAAATAAGGTATCGTTCACTTTTTAGCTGTAAAATAAAAATTTGTAATTTTGTAGTTTTGCTACGGGAAAATCAGCGGAAAACGAAACGGTCGTGTAAAGAAAGGAGTTATATTTGCAACCTATTCATCACTTATAGGAGAAAGTACAAGTGGAGGAAAATATCGAACACGATTTACTCAACTATTACATTGGCTGGGACCTCAGTTTGATGGAGTTGTATCCCTTTAATATACTACATTTTATTAATATTATATATTCCAGATATGTTTTCCTTAACAAAGGTTTTAGATCGTGTTTGACGAATGCCATAAAGCAAAGAATTTGGTTCCCTCCGGTGCTAGTAAACCTAGTAAAACTGGTATCACTGTATTGCAGCTTCAAAAGAGACTACCCAAGGCTAGGATTGTTTATTGCAGTGCAACAGGTTAAGTCTGTGTGATGCTATTTTTTTAATGTCCAAGATAATAAATTAT